TCAGTGTAAAAGACATTTGGAAGTAAGGGATGACAACAACATCCGTTTCCAGACTTCGCCCGTAAACCCATATATTCAAAGGCATTGCCACAAGTGCTACAATTGTTGCTAATGTAGTCATTGTTATGCTAAAAGTATAGTTTAGATTTAGCATAAAAAGTAAATTCATTTCATTAATAAATATTAAGACCTGAGAGAAAGATCTCCATCGCATAGATATGTGAATATATTTGATGTGACGCCTCCTATATTATCATGTATTCATTTTGTTAAATTGATTACTTTAGCATCAAGTTAGATAAAATTATGTACATACCCGGACAACAAGCTAATATCAATAAACCTGTGAATAAAATAGTAATAGTAAGTTGTTATATTTTATATTAATTATATAAGTGTTTTAAACATATGAATAATGAGATGCTGTTATCTAACCAGCAGAATGCAAATGCTCTAGCTCCAATGTCTGGATTAAACAATATGATGCAAACGGCAATAATCCAAACTGAGCTATGAGTCCAACGATCACAGCAAATGGTTTTCTTAGATGACTCCATACCTGTTATACAAATAATTAAACACTGAATATATTTAAAATCTTAAATATATTAAAAATAATGCATACCTGTTCAATGGTGACCGAACATCCCATTGCAAACATCACACAAATTAGTAAAAACACAATTAAATAGTCATGAATTTGTTTTAATAATGGCGTTAATTGAGTGTCCGTTGAATTTGTTATATTCATAGCGGAATCGATGGTATAATTCGTTGAATTCATTATTACTAACGATAGATGTGTTGAGTTATTCATTAAAGAGTTGTTCATTGCTTACTGTGTATTGAAATAAACAAATTTTAGTAAAGTTTATATTATTTCTCGCAAAACACGTAAAATATTATCAAATATTGAAATCTGAATTTGAATTGAAAAAAGAGAGAAATTGCAGGGAATTGGCGGTCAAACGGTTCTTATTATAGAAAATCAATTAAACAAATCTTATTTCCGATATAAAAACAAATAATAATTGATTTGTTTACAAATATTGTTTAATCATTACTGTTAAGCAAAAAAGCTTTAAGATTTATTTTTTCTCTTTCACTATTTATCGTTAGGAAAAAACTTTCATTTATCCGCAAAAATGCAATTATGAATAGAGTGTTGAGAGAAATTGAGAGTGAAATCAATTGGAGAGTTAAATGACTGATTGCGGCACAAGAACTGGTTTTTCACACTTGCATTGTGTGTCGACATTGAGTTTTGAGAAGTATTTAGTTCTTTAAAATACTAATTATTAACTAAAGTTTCCAGAATAGGCTTCATATACAGCATAACATGTCTTTATTNATATACATATTAAAACTATAAAATTAAATAAATAATTAGTATTTTTCATCATTAATCTTATAGTTTTGTTATATCCAAGGTTTGCGGTATTTTTGGCAAAATAGCAAATATATTAACAAATTAATATTTAAAATATTTAATTAAGTTTTTTCGTATTAAAATGTAAATATATGTAAAATAAATAAAATAGCATTTAATTCGGATATAACTAAAAGATTTATTATGAGAAATGAAAGTTATATTTAACACCAAATAAGTAATAATATTTATATTATGCTGTTTTAGAGTTCATAACCACTAATAAACAGTCTTTCAGTAAAATAAAAATTGATAAAAATTTCTGCATTTCTTATTACTTCTCTGACGAGTATTTTTTGAACAAAACAAAAAATATTAGTGGAAAACAATTAATGTATATAAAAGCAGATTTGAAATTAAAATGAATTCATTCATTAAGTTTTTGGTTATATATTGTGAAAACAGATTGTCATTTCAAGTGTCTTAAAGCAGTGACAAAACTTTTAATTTGTATTAAATGTTTAATTGGACATATTTCTAATAATAATTTACCTGTTTTTTGTTTAGAAAGTTTTCAATTATATTCTAAATATCGAGTAAATTAATTAAAGGTAAATATTTTGATTGAATGAAGTAAAATTACTTATTAATTACACGACAAACGTATGTATTAATTATTTAGAGTTAAAAATAATTTAGTTGATTGTATTATAAGAAAAATTAGTTCATTGTAAAGGTTAAGTAATATATTGTTAAAAATGCTCTATTAATCACATATTTGTCCATTTATTTTCAAAAATCTATTAAAAATACTAATTTTAATTTCGCATTTTTTGTAATTGCAAAACTTAAAGCTAGAATTTTAGTGATAATAATTTAATAGTGAAATTTTAGCTTTCAATATAAAAATATAAACAAAATGTTGGTTTTTCAAAGGTTTTATTCAGAACCACTTTAAACCGCATAAATTATGTTATATTTTCAGAAGTGATTTAAATTCTGGACATTTCCGAGAAAACTGAAAATTTCTCAGATTGTAATTCTTATGTAACTGTCATTTGTTTAAAGACATGTTATGCTGTATATGAAGCCTATTCTGGAAACTTTAGTTAATAATTAGTATTTTAAAGAACTAAATACTTCTCAAAACTCAATGTCGACACACAATGCAAGTGTGAAAAACCAGTTCTTGTGCCGCAATCAGTCATTTAACTCTCCAATTGATTTCACTCTCAATTTCTCTCAACACTCTATTCATAATTGCATTTTTGCGGATAAATGAAAGTTTTTTCCTAACGATAAATAGTGAAAGAGAAAAAATAAATCTTAAAGCTTTTTTGCTTAACAGTAATGATTAAACAATATTTGTAAACAAATCAATTATTATTTGTTTTTATATCGGAAATAAGATTTGTTTAATTGATTTTCTATAATAAGAACCGTTTGACCGCCAATTCCCTGCAATTTCTCTCTTTTTTCAATTCAAATTCAGATTTCAATATTTGATAATATTTTACGTGTTTTGCGAGAAATAATATAAACTTTACTAAAATTTGTTTATTTCAATACACAGTAAGCAATGAACAACTCTTTAATGAATAACTCAACACATCTATCGTTAGTAATAATGAATTCAACGAATTATACCATCGATTCCGCTATGAATATAACAAATTCAACGGACACTCAATTAACGCCATTATTAAAACAAATTCATGACTATTTAATTGTGTTTTTACTAATTTGTGTGATGTTTGCAATGGGATGTTCGGTCACTATTGAACAGGTATGCATTATTTTAAATATATTAAGTGTTTAATTATTTGTATAATAGGTATGGAGTCATCTGAGAAAACCATTTGCTGTAATCGTTGGACTCATAGCTCAGTTTGGATTATTGCCGTTTGCATCATATTGTTTAATCCAGACATTGGAGCTAGAGCATTTGCATTCTGCTGGTTAGATAACAGCATCTCATTTTTTCATATGTTTAAAACATTTATATAATTAATATAAAGTATAACAAATTACTATTTTACTCACAGGTTTATTGATATTAGCTTGTTGTCCGGGTATGTACTCTAACTTGATGCTAAAGCAATCAATTTAACAAAATGATTAAATGGTAATATAGGAGGCGTCACATCAAATATATTTACATATCTATGCGATGGAGATCTTTCTCTCAGGTCTTACTATTAATTAATGAAATGAATTTACTTTTTATGCTAAATCTAAACTATACTTTTAGTATAACAATGACTACATTAGCAACAATTGTAGCACTTGTGGCAATGCCTTTGAATATATGGGTTTACGGGCGAAGTCTGGAAACGGATGTTGTTGTCATCCCTTACTTCCAAATGTCTTTTACACTGATTTTGATAACAATTCCTGTTATCGTTGGAATGGCATTGAACTATAAATTCCCTAAATTTACACCATATATAACAAAAGTATACAACTATTAATATAAGTTACCTAAACAGCCAGATATTAATGACATTGCGTTTATCTGCTCCCAAAAGGCGGGTGTATTGTCTGGTTTGGCAATTGTCCTCTTCTGTCAAACTCTAGAGATATTCATATTTCCGGACATCTTCTCTGACGTTCCGCTGGCATTGTATGCGGCGGTGATTGTATTGCCCGTAATAGGTCTGGCCGTGGGTTACATAAGCGCCCGTATATTTTGTCTCAAAACATATATTTGTCGCACAATTGCCATTGAGATCGGCATTAAGAATGTGGGAACGGCTCTCACTATAGTCTCGCTTTCCTTCCCATTTGAGGTATAAATTCAATGTCTGTTTAAATGCTAACAATAATTATATAGTTTGAGACGATGTCACACACCTTCTCACACTATCATATCAATTGTTTTGTATAAATATTGTTAATATTTGTAAACAATACTAACACTAATTTTGAAAGCCTTCAAATGTAGAAAAATGAGTACAAAAAATAATTGAAGTATATTTTTATAGCTAAAAGTTGAAGAAGCGTTAAAAGTTTTGCTAATTTCTTTGTTTATCATTTTTTTCAAGCGAAGTATTTGTTAACACTATTAATGGTTTCACACTAATTGTAATTTGCATTTCAATGTCCATTATGTTGTATAATAGCAATTACGTAAGGCCTGGCTCTTCCCATTCCTCTATGCTTTTTCATCGTTGGGTATATTAATCATTGCCACCGCTTATCACCGATTTGTTGAAGTGTTTTGCGTTCAGCCGTCAGAAAGACCTGAAGACAAGGATCCGGCGTTTGCACAGAAATTATTAGAAAAGTATACAAAATTAATTTGTAATTAAAAATTGCTTTAATTTAATTTTATGTTTTTTTGCAGTGAAAACGAAACACCGATTGTAATAATTCGCTCAAAAGAATCGGAATATAAGCACAAGAATGGACTTAATTCTCATTGAGAATACTTAACAGAATATTCTGTCGATAAATAGTTATATTATTACTTAATAGTGTTTTATTTACAAAAATATAACAGACATTAAACAGAATACAGGGTATAATTAGTACATCAGAATCCAATTGAGTAAACTATCACTAAAATATTAAATTTATTAAATTTTTTTTAAAAATGAGTTTTGAAATATATTAAACTGTATATAATTATATTTTTTGCTTAACTGTTATATTGATATACTTTTGCTTTAAGTAATTAATAATTTCAATGATATTTCTTATCATTTTTATGCAATATTTCTTACGAATTACTGATTTTATTTGATTAAAAGCCATTAATGTTGTAGAAATGAAATGTAATAACAATATTATAACTATAGTATAATTGTATATAAATATTATTTTATGTGAAATTCTTGCGATTCCTGAGACGTGAAGGACAAGTTCAGGGATGACTTCGCCTAAAAGGGCGGTGCGATTCGCGCATCCATTAGACGTCCACTATATTTAGCTATTGATTAACTTTTCAATTATTATTTGTTAATTTGCATGATATTAATCACAATTAAGTTCTCATAGTTTTTATGCAAACATTCAAATGTATTTTATGAACAAATTATTTTCTCAAACAAAATGAAAAATAAATTTAAATATTACAACATTATAAGAACAGTTTTATATTGGCTTTGATTATGCCATAAAAGTATAAATACGAAATTTAATTAGCATTTAATAGTAATAAATTTTAATTATTTTTGTGCCGTTAAAATGACCCCTTTATTGATGTTTTACTATTGCTATAGTTATCAGATGTACAATAATTTTGCAATATTTGCAAATCTGCTGTTTTTTAAATTTTAAAATTTCCTCACTTTTTGATATTATTATAAATCCTTGAATTAAAGACAAAAATAGCAAAAATTTAATCTTCACTTTATTGATGAAAAACAGACATTATAATAAAAATTAATCTGTAGCTTTCATTTGCGCTAGATCGCTTTAATAATGTTTCGTTAAATAACCGTTAAATACCTCTATTGTTCTCAAAATGTCATGAAAAGTCCTCATTTTGCGGAATTGTAATTGGTCGTCCTATTGATAATACTGGAATTGCATCTGGTCATATTTTCTATATAAATATAATTTTCAATATAGTATTATTTAAATTAAAATTATTATTTGACAACAGTTCCCAACAATGAATATACCTCTCTATACAGTTCACGCTTTCACTATTAATGGAGAGCTCTTCACTGGGAATGGGGCCGCCGTTTGCATTTTGGAGTTTGATGTAAAATATTATTTTGAATTAAATATAATATATCATATACTTTAAAATTTTAATAATTTTAAACCCAAAGGATGACATATCAGACGAAGTAAAGCAAAAAATTGCTTTCGATATGAATTTAAGCGAAACAGCATTTGTTGCCAAAGCGTGGACTAAGACAACTGACATTATGGCCAACACTTACACATTGAGATGGTTTACACTGACGATTGAAGTGGCCATCTGTGGTCACGCAACTCAGGCCAGCGCTGCCGTTGTTTACAAACATTTTCAAAATAGTTCAACACATATTAAATTTATTACAAAATTAAAAGGGACTCTTGAGGCGGTTATAGACCCGAAGGACATGGCCATCACTATTGATCTGCCACTCGCCGACTGTAACCCAATTGATAAAGAGTCCTATCCTTGGCTTAAAGAGATTATCAAATATACTTTGGGTCCAAATGTGAGCGAAGAGTCTATTATTGAGGCGGAATTGTCAACAGATGTGCCGTATTTACTGTTAAGACTAAGAGATGGCTCAGAATCCGAAGGATTAATATATAAAGTTTCGCCCGATTTTGAAAAGTTGTCGAAAGTAGACACAAACCAATCGGTGATCGGAACAATCGTTACGCAAAGGGCGAACTCCAACCAATCCGTGGATTTCTATTCCCGATTCTTCCCACCAAATATGGGTGTGAATGAGGACCCGGTTTGCGGTTCGGCTCATACAGTGCTTATGCCGTATTGGATAAGACATTTCAATAGATTGGGTGATAAACGCGAAGAATTAATTGCCAAACAGTGTTCACAGAGAGGAGGGATTCTTAAGTGTAAAATAGTTGCAAATAGAGTTCATTTGACAGGAAATCCAACCATTTTTCTCTCAGGATCTATATCACTGTAACTATACTGTACTCTAAATATAATTTATAACACAAACATAATTTAATATAATTTTAATTTATAACAAATAATTTATCATGTTAATTATTGAAAATATATCAATTTGTTGGTGATACAGTATAATAAATAATCACATTTACATGTATATGTAATACATATAGACCTTTTCCAGGCCTTTATAATCGTCTTTATCAATAAAATCGTATCCTTAATTTGTCCTCAATAATTGCTAAAAATGTCCTCTTTTGTCCTTTAAATTCCTTATAATATTTTCATTTTCCTAAGTTTGAGTTGGTCACACTACCCATATCTGGCACTTAAATCATAAAGGTTTGCAACAGTTGTACGTTTATATAAAATTCACTCAATTTGATTTCTAGTCTAGTTTGATAGTTCTAACATAGTTTGTACATGTATGTATTTACAAAGTACATGTTTGGTACAAAACACAAATATCCATATAAATAAATGTAATAAATTTAGATTTTAATAATTATTTAAAATTAAACTTAACCATTGGTTCAAACAATGAATTACCCGATTTATATCGTCGATGCGTTCACTTTAAACGGTCGGCCCTTCACTGGCAACGGAGCCGGCGTTTGTATCCTCGAGTTTGATGTATAGTAAATATAATTTTATTATAAACGATATATATTTTGAATTATAGCCCATATTTAATTGTATTAAAGGATGACATATCGGATGATGTAAAGCAAAAGATTGCGTCCGAAATTAATTTAAGCGAAACTGCATTTGTGTCCAAAGGATGGGATAAGAGTCAGAAATTGGAGGAAAACACTTACACATTGAGATGGTTTACACCAACGGTTGAAGCGCCCATCTGTGGTCACGCAACTCAGGCCAGCGCTGCAGTACTGTTCAAACAATTTCAAAACAGTTCAACAAAAGTTTGGTTTATAACTAAATTCAAGGGAACATTTGAAACGGTTATGGATCCCAAAGACAATACCATTGCTATTGATCTGCCACTCGCCGACTGCAAACCAATTGATAAAGCGTCCTATCCATGGCTGAAAGATGTTATCAAATATACTTTGGGTCCAAATGTGAGCGAAGAGTCTATAGTGGCGGCGGAACTGTCAACAGATACTAAATATTTATTGTTAAGATTGAGAGACGGTTCAGATTGTGAGGGTTTATTATATAAAGTATCTCCCGATTATATAAAGTTAGCGAATGTGGACACAAACCAATTGGTAAACGGAATTATTGTCACTCATAAGGCAGACACCAAACAAAGCCCACATTTCTATTGCCGATTCTTCGCACCCAATATGGGTATAACTGAAGACCCGGTGACCGGTTCGGCGTATACTGTGTTAATGCCTTATTGGAGGCGAGAATTGACTGATACTGAAGAACTCACTGCTAAACAGTGTTCACAAAGAGGAGGTACTCTTGTTTGTAAAATAGTTGGACAGAGAGTTCACGTAAAAGGAAGCGCTAATATTGTTATAAATGGTGTCATAACCATTTAATTTTGAATTTATTTGTTGGTTAATTATCAAATTTTACTTTTTAAACAATAGCAGACTTATTATAACAGAGAATTTTTAAATAAATTGAATAAAAAAGATTTTACAAATGAATAAAATTGTTTGTATTTTTCCATTTATCGTATTTTTGTATAAATTGATTTTTGCTAAAATATTGTAGCAATTGGGCCGAAAGGTCGATCACTAGAGATCGGATTCTTATGGACACTAATTCAGTATAACTTGACTTTTAGTTTAACACAATTATATTTATTGAATATAAGAATTTTTACAATAGTTGGCAATTCTTATGCAATAGACATTTTAATAAACTTTAATACAAGTAATCAATGGCTTATACAGTATATCCAAAATTGATTACTTGTATTAAAGTCTGTGAATTGACAGGAAATATATTGCATAAAATTTCATTAGAATAAAAATATAGTTATACAATCATTTCACAGGATTGGGCACATCAACTAAGTTACCAGTACATGAACTACGAGTACATTCCATATTTTGGTCCAAACCAACAAATTTAATAACATTTTAAGAACATTTAATGTCCTTGGTTCATTTATTGATTGAGTGATTAATTTTTGATAAGTTTTAAACAATTTTATAACAAACACCAAACTTATATTACCAGTATTACCGATAGCGATAATACAAGTATTTAACAAAATAATTTATAAATAAAAGTTTACTTTAATTAAATTAAATTAATTAATAACCGGAAGAATGGAGTTTCCCCTCTATATCGTCGATGCCTTCACTCTAAACGAGCGGCCATTCACTGGAAATGCGGCCGCAGTTTGTATTTTGCAATTTGATGTAAGTTTCGATTACCATACTATTATTTTTGTGTTTAACATTTTAATATCAATTCAAAGGATGACATAACCGATGAAAGCAAACAAAAAATTGCGTCCGAAATGAATATCAGCGAAACGGCATTTGTTGCCAAAGCGTGGACTAAAAATACTTCAGTAGAAACAAATAGCTATACACTGCGATGGTTTACACCAACCAACGAGGTTGATCTCTGCGGACACGCGACTCTGGCCACAGCACGGGTTGTCTACGATAGAGACCTCAACAACTCGTCCAATACTACCATTAAGTTTGAAACTAAATACAAAGGAATACTCGAAGCGATTGTCAATAAGAGTCAAAATACAATCACTCTTGACTTCCCTGTCAATGATTGTAAACCACTTGATGTCAGTACTAATTCATGGATTTCGGATATTATAGTGCATACATTGGGACCCAATTTAGGGGGTGATTTGATTAGAGGAGTAGAGTATTCGCCCGCAACTAAGAAGTTATTATTGAGATTAAAAGATAATCCAGAATCCGATGATATAATACGTAAAGTAGTTCCCAATCCAAGCGAACTCTTAAAAATAGATACAAACGGTTTGTGTCGAGGAGTTTGTGTGACACAAAAGGCAGAGAGCGTTCACTTCTTGTCCCGATATTTTAGTCCCTGGAATGGTATCAACGAAGACCCGGTCNAAGTAGTTCCCAATCCAAGCGAACTCTTAAAAATAGATACAAACGGTTTGTGTCGAGGAGTTTGTGTGACACAAAAGGCAGAGAGCGTTCACTTCTTGTCCCGATATTTTAGTCCCTGGAATGGTATTAACGAAGACCCGGTCAACGGTTCATCCCATACAGTGCTGACCCCCTATTGGCACAGAGAGTACCGCAAGAGTGGCGTTGAATTGAAACAAATTATTGGCCGACAATGTTCTGCAAGAGGAGGAACTATTGTCTGCGAACTGTCGGGAGAAAGGGTTAAATTAAGTGGAAGTACCAGAGCTGTTGTCTCAGGTGTGCTCACACTTTAAAGTGACGCTTAAAATTTTTAGCACATTCATCCGAGTTTATGACATTTGTTGCTAACATTTAATTAATTATTAAATGAAAAATAAAACTTTTTTATAAATATTTATTAAATAATGTTTTTATGACAGGAATTAATACTGTATAATGAAATCATTTTGTGAGAATACTTATCCAAAATTCTCGTTTAATATCTAATAAAACTGACATGAGTTTAATCTTACGGTTCACTTCGGTATCGCCGCAGACTATCGGACAAAATATTTGGATTAAGTTTTCTAAACAAATGTATTTTTGGTTGTCTTTTAAGTGTCTTAAGTGTAGGATTAAGAAGCAAAGTGTGTCTCTATTCGTGGCATTCATTTCTTGTATTAATTGCTTTACCATTGATTCTAATTCTTCGTCGTTTTTCCTCTCTAAGAGACAACAAATAATAAATTACTTTAAAAATTATTAATTTTAAAATTCAATCAAAACTAACTCATATTATATGAGAATTGTTTCCACATTTCTCTTCCAATTAAGGATTCATTAAAATCAGACAAAAACTTCTTAATGACACCACAAATGATATTAATATTAAACTTGTTTAGCAAAGGAAAACCACATTTAGATTTAATAATATCATTGCAAAGATCTTTCACTTGTTTCAAACCCTCGGAATTCATAACATAGAGACTGTTTGGAGAGCATTCGTAATATAATTTGGCAAAACATTCAACATTCTTGAAATAATCGTTGAAATAGTAGACAAACAATTTAATTGCATTTCTAGAGTCTGTCCAGTAGTGATGTAGAAGTTTGCAAAAACACTTAAACAAATAGGTATTAAGTTTTATGTTATAATTAATTAAGCATTTAATTTGAAATTATTAATTAATTTCGTTGTGAAGCCAAAGGCAGTGATGCTGTGTTTCCGGAGCCAAATAATATACCAATAGAGAAAGCGGTGAAAGAGAGTGAACCCAATGAATGTGATTTGAATAAGTCTAAGGAAACGAAACCAATTGAACCAAAAGAGTCCTATAAATTGAATGCAATTAAAGTAAATCCAGTCTTAGAAAAGCTAATGAGTAGAAGAAGGCATACGTTTGTAATGAAAACAATAGTTCCCAAAGAGATTTGCGGCGTTTGTGGCGATTGTATTCAGTTTTCCGAGAAATACAAGCAATGCGTGGACTGTATTGCCATCAGTCATATGAACTGTTCGGCCAAAGTGCCGGTGCCCTGCATTCGCTACACTAACCCAACCCTAAAACCATCAAAACTCATATCCAATTATGTTTATCCATCGTTTAAGCCGTCGATTCCGGCGCTAATCATACACTGTATACGAGAGGTGGAGGAGAGGTGTCTGCTTACGAGAGGTTTGTCAGAGATACAATACTTAAGGCTCCCAAACTTTGTTCACTTTCTAGAAACGTTACTATAATAATTTAGATTTACACCAAAAGGAAACGATTTGTTCAAATTATAATTATATATTTGTGGTGTCATTAAGAAGTTTTTGTCTGATTTTAATGAATCCTTAATTGGAAGAGAAATGTGGAAACAATTCTCATATAATATGAGTTAGTTTTGATTGAATTTTGAAATTAATAATTTTTAAAGTAATTTTTTTTCTCTTAATTCTCTTTGATTTAGAGAAGAAAAGCGACGAAGAATTAGAATCAATGGTAAAGCAATTAATACAAGAAATGAATGCCACAAATAGAGACACACTTTGCTTCTTAATCCTACACTTAAGACACTTAAAAGACAACCAAAAATACATTTGTTTAGAAAACCTAATCCAAATATTTTGTCCGATAGTCTGCGGCGATACCGAAGTGAACCGTAAGATCAAACTCATGTCAGTTTTATTAGATATTAAACGAGAATTTTGGATAAGTATTCTCACGAAATAATTCCTGCCATAAAAACATTATTTAATAAATATTTATAAAAAAGGTTTATTTTTTATTTGAAAATTAATTACAACAACAAATTTTATAAACTTGGATGAATGTGCTAAAAATTTTAAGCATCACTTTAGAGTGTGAGCACACCTGAGACAACAGTTCTTGTACTTCCACTTAATTTAACCCTTTCTCCCGATAGTTCGCAGACAATAGTTCCTCCTCTTGAAGAACATTGTCTGCCAATAATTTGTTTCAATCCAACGCCACTCTTGCGGTACTCTCTGTGCCAATAGGGGGTCAACACTGTATGGGATGAGCCGTTGACCGGGTCTTCGTTGATACCATTCCAGGGACTAAAATATCGGGACAAGAAGTGAACGCTCTCTGCCTTTTGTGTCACACAAACTCCTCGACACAAACCGTTTGTATCTATTTTTAAGAGTTCGCTTGGATTGGGAACTACTTAATACCATTCCAGGGACTAAAATATCGGGACAAGAAGTGAACGCTCTCTGCCTTTTGTGTCACAGTTTGAGGAGCTGTGTTTGGCAAACATAGATAAAAATTCTCAAGCGAACCTAACCCTTGATGAAATGCATAATATAGTAGCCTAAGACCTAATAGAAAATTAGAGTTATTATTGAAGAATCAACGCCTCGAATACTCTACTCCTCGAATCACATCACCCCCTAAATTGGGTCCCAATGTATGCGTTATAATATCCGAAATCCATGAATTAGTACTGACATCAAGTGGTTTACAATCATTGACAGGGAAGTCAAGAGTGATTGTATTTTCACTCTTATTGACAATCGCTTCGAGTATTCCTTTGTATTTAGTTTCAAACTTAATGGTAGTATTGGACGAGTTGTTGAGGTCTCTATCGTAAACAACCCTCGCTGTGGCCAAAGTGGCGTGTCCGCAGAGGTCAACCTCGTTCGTTGGTGTAAACCATCGCAGTGTATAGCTATTTGTTTCCACTGATGTATTTTTAGTCCACGCTTTGGCAACAAATGCCGTTTCGCTGATATTCATTTCGGATGCAATTTTTTGTTTGATTTCATCGGTTATGTCATCCTTTGAATTGATATTATGTTAAATACAAGAATAATAGTAAACGATATGGTAATCGAAACTTACATCAAATTGCAAAATACAAACTGCGGCCGCATTTCCAGTGAATGGCCGCTCGTTTAGAGTGAAGGCATCGACGATATAGAGGGGAAACTCCATTCTCTCAGTTATTAATTAATTCAATTAAATTAAAGTAAACTTTTATTTATAAATTATTTTGTTGAATACTGGTATTATCGCAAATAGGTTTGGTGTTTGTTATGAAATTGTTTAAAACTTATCAAAAATGAATCACTCAATCAATAAATGAACCAAGGACATTAAATGTTCTTAAAATGTCATTAAATATTGATGGTTTGGACCAAAATATGGAATGTACTCGTAGTTGATGTCTCAATTCCTGTGAAATTATTGTATAACTAATGTTAACGTGTTTTTATTCTAATGAGATGTTTATGCAATATACATTGTAATTTACAATTTGTAAAGTATACAACATAATATACTTTATGTATTTCCTATCAATGGATTATCCACAGACTTTAATACAAGTAATCAATTATGGATGTATAAGCCATTGATTACTTGTATTAAAGTCTATTAAAATATCTATTGTATAAGAATTGCAAACTTTTGTAAAAGTTCTGATATTCAATAAATATAATTGTGTTAAACTAAAAGTCAAGTTATACTGAATAAGTGTCCATAAGAATACGATCTCTAGTGATCGGGCCTTTCGGCCCAATTGCTACAATATTTTAGCAAAAATCTATTTATACAAGAAATACGATAAATGGAAAAATACAAACAATTTTATTCATTTGTAAAATCTTTTTTATTCAATTTAGTTACAAATTCTTTGTTATAATAAGTCTGCTATTGTTTAAAAAGTAAAATTTGATAATTGACCAACAAATAAATTCAAAATTAAATGGTTATGACACCATTTACAACAATATTAGCGCTTCCTTTTACGTGAACTCTCTGTCCAACTATTTTACAAACAAGAGTACCTCCTCTTTGGGAACACTGTTTAGCAGTGAGTTCTTCAGTATCAGTCAATTCTCGCCTCCAATAAGGCATTAACACAGTATACGCCGAACCGGTCACCGGGTCTTCAGTTATACCCATATTGGGTGCGAAGAATCGGCAATAGAAATGTGGGCTTTGTTTCGCGTCTGCCTTATGAGTGACAATAATTCCGTTTACCAATTGGTTTGTGTCCACATTCACTAACTTTATATAATCGGGCGATACTTTATATAATAAACTCTCACAATCTGAACCGTCTCTCAATCTTAATAATAAATATTTAGTATCTGTTGACAATTCCGACGAGACTATAGACTCTTCGCTCACATTTGGACCCAAAGTATATTTGATAACATCTTTAAGCCATGGATAGGACTCGTTATGAATTGGTTTGCAGTCGGCGAGTGGCAGATCAATAGCGATGGTATTGTCTTTGGGATCCATAACCGCTTCAAATGTTCCCTTGAATTTAGTTATAAACCAAACTTTTGTTGAACTGTTCAGAAATTGTTTGAAAAGTACGGCAGCGCTGGCCTGAGTTGCGTGACCACAGATGGGCGCTTCAACCGTTGGTGTAAACCATCTCAATGTGTAAGTGTTTTCCTCCAATTTCTGACTCTTATCCCATCCTTTGGACACAAATGCAGTTTCGCTTAAATTGATTTCGGACGCAATCTTTTGCTTTACTTCATCCGATATGTCATCCTTTAATACAATTAAATATGGGCTATAATTCGAAGTATATATCGTTTATAATAAAAATTATATTTACTATACATCAAACTCGAGGATACAAACGCCGGCTCCGTTTCCAGTGAAAGGCCGGCCGTTTAAAGTGAACGCATCGACGATATAAATCGGGAAATTCATTGTTTGAACCAATGGTTAAGTTTAACTTTAAATAATTATTAAACTTAAATGTATTACATTTATTTATATGGATATTTGTGTTATATAAAGTTCTTTACCAAACATGTACGTTGTAAATACCACAGATGTACAAACTATGTTAGATTTATCAAACTAGACTAGAAATCAAATTGAGTGAATTTTATATAAACATACAACTGTTGCAAACCTTTATGATTAAAGTGCCAGATATTGGTAGTGTGACCAACTCAAACTTAGGAAAATGACAATATTATAAGACATTTGAAGGACAAAAGAGGACATCTTTACAATTAGCAATTATAGAGGACAACATTTTATTGATTTGCTAATTTTAAATATGTTTGTATGGATAAAGATGTACTGTATGTATTACATGTAATATTACTGTATGTATTACATGTAATATTACTGTATGTATTACATGTAAATGAGATTATTTATTATATCACCAATAAATTGATATATTTTAATAATTAGCATCATAAATTTTTTGTTATAAATTAAAATTATATTATGTTATATTAATTATATCATGTTATTGTCTAAAATTATATTAAATTATGTTTGTGTTGTAAATTATATTTAAACTGTAACTATACAGTATATACAGTAGCTGTACAGTATAGTTACAGTGATATAGATCCCGAGAGAAAAATGGTTGGATTTCCTTTCAAATGAACTCTATTCGCAACTATTTTACATTTAAGAATCCCTCCTCTCTGTGAACACTGTTTGGCAATGAATTCTTCGCGATTATCACCCAATCTATTGAAATATCTTTTCCAATACGGCATAAGCACTGTATGAGCCGAACCGCAAACCGGGTCTTCATTGACGCCCATATTTGGTGGGAAGAATCGGGAATAGAAATCCACGGATTGGTTTGTGTCAGCCCTTTGCGTAACGATGGTTCCGATCACCGATTGGTTTGTGTCTACTTTCGACAACTTTTCAAAATCGGGCGAAACTTTATATATTAATCCTTCGGATTCTGAGCCATCTCTTAGTCTTAACAGTAAATACGGCACATCTGTTG